ATATATATATAGATAGGAAAAAGAAAAGTCTTTCCAACGCCTATATGCGAAAATGAATAGTGATTGCGCCTACCTTCATCACCGTCCAAATTTCAACGCGCTGTCACGATTGTTCGGTGGTATTTTATTTTTCATTTGTTTGGAGCATCTATATATCTTACTGAGGCGCATCTAATAAAAATATAAAAAAAATTATCCGCAAAAAATAAATTGACCAAAATACCCCCAAAACTTTTTGGGCGTATTTTGGTCAATTGTTTTCATGTAAATTTTTTTTTTATAATTTTCAAAGTTTCCTCTATTTTTTATGAATACACGCTCCAAATTTCATGTCATTCCGATGTGTAGAAAAAAAATAAAAAATGAAACACTACCGGACAATCATGATCGCGTGATGAACTTTGGACGCTAATGGGGGTAGGCCAAATCACTATTCATTTTCGCCTATAGGCATTGCGTAGTGTTTCCATATATATATATATATATATAAGAGAAAAGAGTAACATCGAGTAAGCCCTCTAGTGTGGCGAAGGGATTCCTAGGGGGAATCCCGAGCGGATGTAGGAAGCTAGAGGTAGAGACTCCTAGGGGGCCTCAATGAATGAGCTGACCCGTGAACGAATGGAGTAAGGGGTTGGTCGCACGCTCATGATTAGCCGTACCTTCGCCTGAACTCTGATTAGCCTATGTTGACCACTTTCCCACGATGGCTGCTGCAGCGCTCAGGTAGGAAATTTGAGTAGCCCAGACGAATGGCTCCGACTTGGAACAGAGGGAGGGGGGCTTTCCCATTGCCCCCTCCTAGGTCAAACTCTACATAATTGCATGGGAGAGGTTCTCTCCCGTGGCATTTGGGCCCTTACTTTGTTTCTAGATCGAGCCTCGTTTCACATCCCTCAGTTGCATATCCATTTCCATTCCTGATCCTCCCTGAGGGAGCAGGGGCAGCTTATTTCCCTTCAGGAATAGTTATTGTTTACACTTTCAAAATTGTTTCTTGCTTTTAAAGAAAAATGAAAAATGTTAAAGGAGGATTTGTCCTGGTTCTGAAGAAAATAACTTCAGATCTTGTACTCTTTTCCCTTCTCAATTCTCTCTCAAAGCATTATAATTTGTCATTTCTCTGTTCTGGCTGAGACTGAATATTTGTTTTCCCAATCTATCATGTGTTTCTTTTGGTAAATAGAAATCTTTCTGCAGCCATATCATCCATTTGAGGCAATGAATTGAAATTTGCAGCTGTTTGTTCATCTCGAGTATTTCTTTTTGTAGGACACTGATGTACTGTTGTAAAGTCCACCAAAGTTTTCTCAATTTGTGTTAACTGTGCATTAATTTTTTCTTGACTTACGTTATTAAGCAGAGATCGGCATTGGATTGACTGGCTTCGGTGTTATGTTCTCATTTTTGGGAGTCATGTTCATGTTTGATAAGGGGCTTCTTGCCATGGGAAATGTAAGCAAAACACTTTTTGAGAGTTATTCACATCTGCAAAGTTTTTAAAACAATGCTATTTTCCTATTTAACGATTGGTTTGTCCTTTGATGCTTATCAGATCCTCTTCGTGTCAGGGGTGATGCTAACCATTGGGCCCAAATCCACCATTCAATTCTTTATGAAGCGCCAGAATTACAAGGTTTAACCATTTGCGCAAGCCAACTGATTACTGAGCTTATCGTGTCCAATGGCACTCACCAGTGCTTTAAAACCCAGATTCGTTCTGGGAATAGTTGGGTGCTTGGAGCAAGTCCACTTGGTGAGCCCAAGTGGACTTTCGCCGAGTAATACCTGATTCATGCAAGTTTGCCAAAAAAATCCAAAAAATTGGAAGATTCAGGAAAAATAGAAAATATGAAAAATCATAAATGTTAATTGAAAAATGACGAAAATTAGATGATTTTGCATACACTGTTGAGATTTTCTGTCAAATAGTAGTTCGAAAAAAAGAGAAAAATAAAACCTTCCAAATCTGACATTTTTAATTTTTTCTTCCAAGTCTAATTTTTCCAAATTACAGGATGGAAAAGGGGGTCGGGTTTCTGCCTCTTATTTTTAAAATGATTTTTATTGGACTCAGCGAGTTTCCGAATGGCTGACCGAGTTGCTACAGTAATTGTCGAGTACTACTGCAGTACCATCTGATGTTTTTTAGGGTTTCTGTATTTATTTATTTTTTGTGGTGGGGGCGGGGGGGGGGGGGGGGGGGGTCGGGGTGTTTTGGGGCTCGGGAGGCTGCCAAGCCCGAGTAACTCGGGTGGGTTCGAATTAGATTTGCCGAGTTTCCAAACATTGATACTTACTAGTTCCTTGTTATGACAGGGCTCCATTGCATTCGTTCTGGGCTTCTTTCTGGTCCTTATCGGACGACCCATCATTGGCATGATCATCGAAGCATATGGTTTCATTGTGCTCTTCAGGTCTGATTCTATGGATAACTTTCTCAAACGATGTTAAAAACCTTGGCAGAGTCAAATCAGAATTGGCTAAGCTACTTGGGCTTGGCATGGTGCCAAGCGAGTACTTGTGTACATACTTGGGGGGCCTAAACATGTATAATTCTCAGGTGAGTACTGTACAAACTCACTCGGGTACTGTGGATCTTGGCCCTACTAGCCCGAGTTCTACAATACTCAGGTGGGTTGCAACAGTAATCACTGAAGTAATGTTACTCATAAAGAAAAACAAAAAGTGGGATTTCTGCCCCCATTTTTCATCTCACTGAAGGGGGTCAGAAATCTGCCCCTTGTTTTCATCTCTCTCAAAGGGGGTGGAAATCTGTCCCCTTGTTTTCGTATCTCTCTCTCTCTCTGTCAGAAAGGTGCGCTGAAATTCGCTCCCCTGTTTTCATTTCTCTCTCCATAAGGGGGCCGAAATCTGCCTCGGCTGTTTCTTTTCTCTCTAAAAGGGGCGCAAACATGTGTTCCCCTTTCATCTCTCCACTTTCTAGGGGTGGGGGAGGATCCACACCCTGTTTTCCTCTCTCTCTCCTAATGCTCTATCTCTCTGTTCCAAAATCTCTCTCTCCCTCCTTTACCCCCCCCCCAAAAAAAAATCTCTTGTTGATGGTTTTCAAATTTTTTGGGATTCTTTTTTTTTTTTTTAAAAGGAATTTTTATGCCTGTACACTAAGGTGAGTTGACTCAGACCCGCCAAGTTACTAGGCTCGGGAGTGGGACCCTTCATTGTGATCATGTCGTCTTCTGAGAGTCTAACTCTCCGTCATCGTCTGTGATCTCAATATCCTATTTGACAAAGTTCCCTCCATATCCTTTGTTTAGGATTATAGTGTGTTTTTTGAGTTAATTTTTTTTTATGCAACATGTGATTTCTTGTGGCAGGGGTTTTTGGCCCACCATTGCTGTGTTCTTGCAGCGCATTCCTGTACTTGGATGGATTTTCCAACTCCCTGTTATATCATCGGTAAGAAATTCAATATATTTTTTTTTTAATGTGAAATTTCAGGTAGATCTATCTCAAAACTAAGGTTGTGATGTTTAATCTGTTTCATTGTGCAGTTTCTTGGTACCAAAAGGGGTAAGCGGGTTCCCGTGTAATCATTTGGAATGGTTGTGCTCCATATGGCCTTGAATTTGAGGCTCACGTCCGGAAAGGAAATGTATGGCGAGTTCTGACTTCTGAACTCTGAATCATATTATGGCAAACACCATAAAATTTTGTGAAATTTGGAACTTGTTTGTGTAGAAAGATATGGCATCTTTTGTGCCTCAGTCCATGGCAATGTGCATCATGGATGATTGTAATTCAATTGTGAAGAACAGATCTGAGAGGATTCTTTTTTTAGTGTTTTGTTGTTAATTGTAGTTTACTGAGAAATTAAATGAAATATTTTTTACTGTGAGGGATTTTAGTTTTAAGCTTTTCCACGATAACTGGGTGGTTATAAGGTCAAGAGGAGAAGATTTGATACACTTCTGAATATGGAAGCACCACGTGCTTTGGAGGTAACCCACATTGGGATATTTCATGTGGTTGCTAGCCGAGGATGGAATGTATCATTATTTGAGCATGCATATTTCCACCTTCTCTCTTATCTAAACTTTGGTTTAATCGATCTTTGTTTCATAGGTTAATTATGTCTTATGAGCTAACAGTGATTCTGAATTAACCTTAAGGGTGGTTGAGAAGGTGTGGGGAGCCGGTTTTAGAAATTGTGAGTATGGGGTTCATAGTGGGGGTAACAGTCTATCAAGGTGAATAGTTGCTACTGTGTGTGTATGATCTTTACCATTTCCAGGCTTTAAAATATATGTTCTATTGAAGGTTAATTAATTTGTGGGCTCCCTATAAGGCCTCAGTTCATCCCAGCTTTTTGTTTATAATAGAGCAGAAGATGGCCAAACGGTAGAAATCCATGAGCATGTTGACGGCGGAGAGAGATTTGAGACTGAATAAACAGAATTTGTAACGTCAATGGTAGGGAATGCCTTTCCAAGAGCATTACTTGATCTTTTATGAAATGAGATTAACAAACAAAATCAACATCAATACATCCAAAACCAAGAATAAGAACATGAGAGGCTAAGAACCAAAATCAGCATCCACAAAACAAAAGAATAAGATAGGAGAAGATTTGTAACAAACATCAATGGTAGGGAATGCCTTTTCAAGAGCATTGCCATCTCATGTAACAAGGGACCTCTGCAATTCCCTTGAACTTGCACACGAGAAACTGAGTCACAAGAATAGCAAAAGAACCAAAATCAGAAGGCAACATTACAGCAAAACCCAAGAACAAGGAAAGGGAGGAAACACATGGGGGAATGGATCAACCTTAGAGATGTGATCAGCATGTTAGGTAGATCAACTATTAACCATTTGCCACATTGCACACCTTTCTAACCTGACCCTGTGTTCCAGTTAGGATCTGAAGAGCTCCCATTTTCACCATAGCATTTCCGAACCCAATACTAAAGAGGGGGTTCGAAGCTGCTAAGACCATAACACTGGTCCGAGTTGCAGAGTCAAGGGCGAGAGCTTGGTCAATTTGGAGGATTCCTCTCTTTGATAGTATCTGCTTATAGTAGTCATTGTCCACAATGAAAGCACTGGAAGCGTTTTGGTCAAGATTAACAGCTGTGTTTTGAGGTGGGCTGGCGTTTGGGCACACAGTCCTCAATTGTGAGGCCAAGGTTGGGTTCATGGTGGGATCAGGCTTCCCTGTGTTATTGAAATTGTAGAGCCGGTTTTGGAACAGGGGGCAATGTGTTACCCCAACAGTGTGGGCACCTAATTTTGCACATAAAATCATGTTAGTAACATAGGTATTGTTCGATACGTTGTGGTTTCAAGTAGGCTTAGAGAGAAAGCATAGGGCACATACCCAAGAGGAGGACCATGTCATTGGTGCTGAGACCTTTGCTTTTAAATGCGGAGATGGCTTGAGACACTGAAATGGAAGGTCCAGGGAGGTTCACATTGGTAGCTGGGAACAAGGCATCTCTTCTTCCAGTCTGCACAGCATAGCTACGTCCTCCAGCCTACACCCATTTATACAGAGTGGTGGTCACTAAATGTGCATCTCTCTCTCTCATGTGACATGTCACTAATGCATGCCATATCAACATCTCTCTCTCTCTCATTTCACATGTCTCTATTGCAAGCTATATTAACAATTCTCTCTTTAGGGATGGCAAAGGACCCAGACTCAACCTAGGACCCAAGGGGTAGACCCGATCCAAGTCCAGGTATAGGGCTCAAAATTGGACCCGGTGGGTCGAATCCGGGTTCGGGTGTGATCCAATCCAAGTTAGGATACATAAATATTTTTCAGGATCCCAATGTATGAAATATATTTAAATATAGTTAAACATATAGATATTTTAATTGTTTGGGTTAGATCCGATCTGGTCCGGGTCCAGTAAATTTAGGTCCGACTCACATGTATAATAACATGAATTTATTGACAAACAGAAGTGAAAGAGAGGAAGTAGTACAAGGGAGACGGCATCTCTTGCAGCAAGGGCTATGATATCTGCACATGAGACTAGTTCAGGACAAGCAGCCTCCACCGCAGCCTTGGCTTGGTTTATGATGTCGTACCCTCTTACACTAAGATTTGGGGGAGCATTCTTCTCAGATGACGTCCCATCCAATAATAATGATGCATCGCACCCCTTTCAAATTCAAACCGCCAACATTATATTAGGCCTAAATATTTATAGGAAGAAATGGCCCCAATAAAAAGCTTATATAAAGTGTCAATTTTGTAATGTGGAAGCAAGATGCACCTTAAAAACCCATAAAAGAATGTTGTCTCATCACTAGTAAATTTTACAATTGATCATCTTGACCTCGATATATATGGATACGAAAGAAAAAATTAATTTTAAGTCTTAAAAATAATACATATTGTAACACTTTATCTGAACTGTTTATTTTTAAGATTTTCAAGTGTTCATAGATCGGCTAGATCCGCACCATTTTTGGAACTTTTAATTCATAATAGAAGTGAAAATAGACATTTAGGCTATGATGAGAGTTTCAACACCGAAAATACATCTTTTTAATGAGATTTTTGAGGTGCACCTTACCGTAATTGCTTAAGGTTGACACCTTATTCAAACTTCACCCATAAAAGAATAACATTAATTAAAAATTCTATCCTCTTCGACCCGAAGGAGTAAGTGTATAGTATGCTCTTTGAGAAAATGGTATATTTGCTTCGTTGCATTAATATGTGATCTCTCTATGTCGCCATTACATTAAGGAAACCTGTTCCATGTGTTGGTGGGTGCAAGAGCCCGCCGACTCTTCAACGTCCATCTTGAAGTTGGACGTTGTATAAAACACATCGGTTCAAATCAAGTATGGATGGTGTCAAAAATATCCCCCCAAAAAAAACACATTTCAAAGTTTTTTTTTGTTTCATATTCATGATAAGCTCTGCTTAAATGATAAATCCCTAAAATTTTGGATAAAAAATCCATCTTTAAGGTGAATTTTAAAGGGGGTCTGCACGTGTACATATGGGTCGGTTGACTCATAGAAACCCCATCCTAAAATTAATAGGTGATCTCTCTATGTGGGTTTGGAGAGAGAGGGACCCGTGATCATGTCTCGACCCGGCAGGTTTCATTCTCTGTGAATTACTCTCCAACACATTGATTACATAGTCATGATCCTCATGACCACGTATATCATGTACGACTGCCTTGTAACAGTGAATCATTGAAGAAAACCTTACGCATGAATGTCATAGAGACATGCTTGAATTAGAATTTTTTTTGGTAAAATCTATTTTCACCCTTAATTGTAAAATTTAAATAGTGCTTATCAAGTAGATTTATGAACACTTGTAAATTTTGAAAATGGGCTGTCCAAGTAACAAGTTACAAGATGAATTATTTTTAGGACTTGAAATTTTTTTGCTTTTTTTTATATTCATACATCTCAAAGTCAAGATGATCAATTAGTGGGTTTACCGACTTCTGACATCCTTTTCCGGTGGATTTTTGAGGTGTCATTTATTTCTAAAATTGACATTTTTATACATTTTCCTTTAAATTTGATTTTAGAAGGCACAAGAAACAAAAAGAGAGAAACAAAGTATAATCAAAGCAAAAATTATACGTACTGAAACAAAGCAGTCATGGAATTGCAGGCAAAGCAGTGCGGCTACGATGGTGTTGTCAGATTTAAAACGCTGAGCCACTACACCCTGGACCATGGATTCCACATCCTTTGTGCCACACTTGCCATTGTAGAACCCCACTTGCAATGCTCCATGGCATTGACCAACTAACCCAACAACAGCAACAACAATTAACCCCAAGATCTTCATCTCTCTCTGTGTTTTTGAAGATAAGATCTTTATGTCTGTGTTTTTTAAGATAGAGCCTCTCTTGTGGAAATGATAAGCATTTGCTTTTTATATAAGAGTAACAGGCAACGTTGCACCCAAAAGAGCAACGATTCCATTATAATTCGCAGAATAATAGCTTCTTTTAGTTAATTAAGGAGTTGACATGGTGCATGAGTGCACGATGAAGTTCTATACTGTTACGCACCATTAAATACTCAATCGACCTACCACCCCCAAAATTTCAACCGGCTAACTCAGCAAACCGTGTGTTACAACTATTTATCACATATGTGATGGCCCATGTTTTGCCACAATATAAAACTAGATTAAAAAGGAAAACACTTTTTTCTATAAAAAATAATATTGTAGCCACACAAACTAGCAACATGCTTCCATGCTCCACTATTTATCAAGATACGACCTTCTTGGGTCGCACATAATAAGTTTGTGCTGGTTCATTGTATCGTACGATTCAAACCATGGTGGGAATTCATGGGAATAATGAAATCTCAACCAATTTTTTATTTATTGAAGGGACTTTATACAATGATATCATTTACTTTTGGCACAGGGAGGTCACAATTACTTACCACCAATTGATGTGAAATCTAATAGTTTAGATGTGTCATAAAGTTCGAAAAAATATCTTGAACTTTGAACTTTTTAGATGTCTTGAACTTTGAACTTTGAACTTTTTAGGAGGTTATAAGATGATCATTTTTGGGTGTAAACCTCTCTTAGCCATTTTTGAGCATGAACATCTCTGGGTCATTTTTTGAGCGTGCATCTCTCTGAGTATAGGAAGCATTCTTTTTCTGTTGAGAAAAAGAAGATAGAGATTATCATTCTTTGTGAGAGGAAAAAAAGAAGATAGAGATTCATCATTTTCTGTGAGAAAAAGAGAGAGAGAGAGAGTTATCTGAGAGAGAGTTATTATTTTTCTTAGAAAAAAAAAGATGATGAAAGAGAGCCAGTGATCATCCTCTTTAAGTATTTTTTTTGTTGAGAGAGAAAAGAAAGAGAAGAGAAGAGAAGAAAATGATAGAAAAAAAAACATATTCTTTTAGCGAGAGAAAGTCTCTAAAAAGAAAAAAAGTCTCTAAGAGAGAATATCAGAGAGGAAAATCCTATAGAGAGAAGTCTCAAAATGAAATAGCAGTAATCCAAAGAAATGTTGTTTTCTTATAAGGCAATTGTAACCTTTGAACTAATAGTGGATTTATCTATTTCTCCCGTGGACCTAGATTGAAAAGGTGAACCATATAAATCTGGCGCCAGTAAGATTTATTTATATGTTTTATTGTATATTTTTCCATTCATACACACATATCGACTTTGACATAATTTTGTTTCCCGTATTTCTTAGCTCTGCTGTGTGTATTCGCATTCGTGTGAGATGGCTCTAACTGGCACAACACAATTTCACATCCAATGGTCAAAATTAATTGCGATCTCCATGTACCAAAGTTAAATGATCAGGGTTACTAATTGCTTTTTAGTACATGTGATAAAAAAAAAAAAACGTGAGTCATTGATTTTTGCTCAGTGCCTCACAATTTAAAAACCATGTGGCTCATAATTCATGCACACGAGTCAAGCGTTTAATAATCCTTCAAACCCACAGGCGGGGTGTAGGGTATTGAATCAAACTAACAAAGAGAGATGAGCACCAAGAAAAAACTCAAATAACAGAAAAGTGCCCATCAAGAAAATTGGACACTCCACATTCAATTTAATTTAATTAGTGCAAGTAATTAGTGCCTCTTAATTAGAATGAGATCAAATAACTCAATTAACACAGGATGGACAGCTCGAACATTATGGAATCCTACCTTGAACTTGGTTTAGTTAGTTAGTGTTTGCTGATCTATGTCATCGTCATCATCATCATTATTTGTAACAGAGGGTTAGAATCACGAATATTGTATTGCATTATCAACACCACAACCATCCAGCCAAGCGCTAAAACTTTGAATATCATTACAGGGCTACCAATTGGACCGGCTAGGGGCCACAGTTGACCTAGCCCGGCCTGAACCTGGCCACAGCAATGGTCCACCTAGCCAACGGTCTTGGCTGGTCTTTGTTTGGGCTTTACCACTAGGGAACTGGGTTGAGATTATCAAGCGTTTGTCCCTGTCTCACCTATTCAAATATGGGCCTAAAACTTTACAGGTTGATGATGTCACTCGCCAGGATCATGGGTCTAAAAAAAAGTATTTTAAGTTTTAAAATTGACTATTTGAAGGAGTTTTAAAATAGACTATTTTGAAATAGATTATCAAATTTGCAATAATTTTTTGAACCACAAAATCATGAATCTTAAGTGGAAGTGAATCTCTTAATGACTTAGATTGTGTCCATAGTCTGAAATCAATATATAAATAGACTTTTGGAGAGTAATAACATCTGTGCAATACCTCATTTAAACTTTTCCTAATACAAACTATGGGACATAGAATATATCATCATGATAGACCTACGCAAAGAAAAGAGTCATCAAATTTATCAATACGAACCATTTGCATCTTTTGTTTCTAACTATTGGAGCATATTAATTCGTACAAATTTAGATTAATACGTACAATTTACATATTTAGAACCTGAAGCATGTTGTAGCTGCCCATGCAGGTATAAAGACTCAATTGCGGTCATCTTTGGGTAAATAGTTGTAGCAGAAAATCTTTGAGGTAAAGCACAAACCAAGGCAAATGTTCAAGTCTAGAGCTATTTATGGCTTATTGGAAAGTAAAAGTATACAATGAGATCATTTATCTTTGGTCTAACGTGGTCACAACTAATCCTAACCGATGGATGTGTAATTGGGTAGCTATATTTATTGTATTGAACAAGCTTAAAGTTCAAAATAGTTTTCTCAAACTTTACGACACAACCAAGCTATTAAAAATGTGTTTTCTCTTCTTTCTTTGTTTTTCTTTTTTTTTTAATATAAAAAATGGGCGATGTTTGTTGGGGAGAATTGAACCCCCACCACAAAGGACCGTGAGCATCCACATTACCCAGTGTGCCATTGGAACTTTTAAAGGAAGGTTTGGCAGCTTATATGCTTCCCCACATCCAACCGTCCATTCTGAATGGGGGTTAAGATTGTCCCAATCACAATGTCACGTCTCTACACTGTTTTATTTTTAATTTTTTTCTGTAAACTATTTTGACACCGAATTTTTGACGTCCAATCCTCTATTAAACTCGCACTAGCGAAAAATATAAAAACAATATTTTCAATAAAATAAAATGACCAAAATACCCCAAAAAATTTTAAGGGGTATTTTGGTCATTATATTTTATCAAAAAAATATTTTTAATATTTTTTACAGGTACGTCCCAATAAGAAGATGACACATACCAAACTCATATTCATATAATTTGTATAAAAAAAAACCAAAAATAAAATACTTTGAGACGTCGGATCTAAGATCAAACGGTGAGTGGCTCTCTTGATCAAAATTGGACGGCTGGATGGTAGGGGAAGGATAGTTTTTCTATGCTGTAGGGGAAGTATATAAACCTTTCCCATTACATATAACTAATAAAAACTGTGTAAATTATACTTGACCGAAACTCGTCTCATCCATAGGGCGAGCCTGAGTAACTTAGCCGAGTCTCGAGAATGTCATGTATCGATACATAGATTTACAATTTTAACGGTAAAACATTTTATCACAAGAAGCCATGGGCAAACCTATGATAAATGCATGTTATAAGTCATAACGATCCAGTTACAGCACACACTAAAACAATCTTCATCATCGTCATTATCATTCGAACCTTATCCCAACTAATTGGGATTGATTAAAACATGCACTGAAACCGTCATTGGTTGAATTACGTTTTCTATTTCATTCAAGTCTCTCGCTTTTATTCCGCTTGTTAAATTGCAATACAATTACAAGATATAATAAGCACTCCAAATGGGGAGTTGGATGCACATTATGCTTCTGGGTCAATGGCAACATATTATGCCTCACGGTTGCTGGTTCCATCCAAGAATCATCGCCACACAAACAAAAGAGAGAAACTAAAAGAAGGCTTAACCCCAACATCCCCCTCATCAAATCCCACAAGCACCAACACACACACATAGAAAAAGAAATGAAAAGTACTTAAATGAAAACAATGATCAGAATTCTTAATTTGCCACTCTACATGACTTCCTAATCTCTCCTTGCGAACCAGTGAGAACCTGAAGTGCACCCATCTTGACCATGGCCTCACCAAACCCACTCATGAAGTTGGACACAATCCGGCCCCTCCCCCGACCTCGACCCGAGCCCCTACCAAGACCTAACCCTGGACTGGAGGGACCATCTGAGGCCAAAGCTGTCACAATGTTCCTAGTGGCCGGATCGAGAGCAAGCGCTCGATCTATTTGCAAGATGCCTCTATTTGAGAGTATCTGTTTAAAGAAGTCATTGTCGACGACGAAAGCACTTGAAGTGTTTTGATCCAGAAAGACTGGAGTCCCAGGAGGAGGATTAGTGTTCGGACATATAGTCCTTAGTTGTGAGGCTAGGGTCTTGTCCATGGAGGGGTCGGGGTTTCCTGTGCCATGGAAGTTATAGAGCCGGCTTTGGATTAACGGGCAGTGCGTCACCCCGACGGTGTGGGCCCCTAATTTCCACACACACACATGCAGTAATATGTTAGTGCTTGGGAATGGGATTATAAGATCAGTTGAAGCTGCATATTCATTTTCATTTTCTTTTACTACTTTTTGGTAAAAAAAAAAAGGGCATTAACATTTTCCATAGAGGTTGCAGGGAAAATAATAGAAAGGGTAAAAATAAGCTAAAACCGTATTATTCCAAGAGAAAAGGCATGTATCAGGGAAAAAAGAAAGTATGGAAAGTACCCAAGAGGAGAACCATATCGTTAACATTGAAGCCTTCGGTTTTGAAGGCAGCGATGGATTGAGAGACTGTAAAAGAGGGGGAGGGGAGGTTCACTGTGGTTGCAGCGGATAGACCATCCCTTCTCCCTGTCTGCACATTGTAACTAGGTCCACCGGCCTGCATCCATTTACATGTTGTAAAACCAATCATTACTCTCACTTTCATTCGAATGAAACTCAAGATGTCACGTTATATCATCCCTTCGGTACGAATGCATATTAAGAATGAAAAGAGAGAGGAGGGGGTTACAAGTGAGACAGCATCTCTTGTAGCAATGGCAATGATGTCGGCACATGAGACGAGATCAGGGCAAAGAGCCTCAACAGCAGCCTTGGCTTCGTCGATGATTTCGTAGCCCCTCATACTTCGATTTGGAGATGCATTCTTCTCTGTCGAGTTCCCATCCAGCAACAACGATGCATCACACCCCTTTCACACACAACACTTGCACGTTAGAATCCCCATAGTACATTCAAAAATCAAATTTTAAAATTTGAATTCTAGAATACTTCAGATTTGACTTTCAAAATAATAAACCATCTCATTATCTTAAAATCGTATTTTTTTAAGTACATAGAGAGTGATTAGTCAGGAAATTTGAGGTCCCAAGGTTAGTCCTCGATAGGATTTTACCTGAGGGAACAAATGTACAATACAATCCCAAGGGAGCATATAATCATCTGGCTATTTGCATACTAAAACCGTTTATTTTGGTGTCCCAACCATGAGAAATTTGATGGCTTAATATTTGTCACCAAACTTTGAGCCTAATTATAGTACACCTTTAACCGCTAGATTTCGCGTCTAATGGTCAAATGTTAAAGTAACCTCCATGTACTAAACTCATCATCATTATCATTCAAATCTTATCCCAATTAAACTATTTGGGGTGGGCCACAATAATCTTGTTTCGCTAGTGCACTCTATTAAATGTTATACTCTCAGTCACACTATTAAATCAAAATTCATATGCAAATGTGGCAAAAAATTTTATGTTAGCTGCCAACTTCTTAAATATTCTTACTGTATAAATTTCCACGTATCACTGCATGCAAATGAACTTACCGTGACAAAGCAGTCATGGAATTGCAATCGAAGGAGTGCGGCCACAATTGTTTGATCACTAGCAAAGCTCGTTGTCACCACCCCACGTACAATGCTCTCCACATCGTTGGCCCCACACTGTTCATCATAAAACCCTACTTGTAGGGCACCATGGCTGCAACCCACAACTAAAAGCAACAGAAAGAGCCCTAAAATCTTCATTCTCTCTCTCTCTCCCTCTCTCTTCCAATGCTCTAATGCTTCCCTCCATTTCCTCTCCCACTTATACTGGCGCAAGCCTATCTTTGTGCTGCATCAGCATCATAGAGTAGTTCTTAGTGTCGAAAATCTCGACACCTACCAAGGGACACATCCAGCGGTTCCCATGGCTTCACTCATCGTTGAATTGCATCTGGGTCATTGATTGCCTCAAAGAAACTAATACTTTTGCCACCTTAAAAATCACAACGTGCCCATGACTAATATTGTTATTATAAAATGAAAATTTAAGTTCAACAAATGCCCTAGAAATGCATCAAGCCTAGAATACATTCCCCCTATCTATCATAATTTCTCATGAGGTCCGACATCTTTTGGGGGGTACCCCTCCTACGTCCTGCCCTGTATTCTCTCCGAAGATTCCTCCTAACATATTTTTGGATTTCTTCTACTTCTTCTCTTGTTATAGTGATTTTCTGTCATTTGATTTCTTTTTTGAAGCAAAAGAGTCCAAAAGATCCTATATTTACAGGAATGTCATACTGTAGTAACATTCTTAGGCTGTCATACTGTAGTAACATTCTTAGGCTGGTAAGACTGATCATTTTCTTGGGTGTGCCAGTGGAGAGAGGCCCTACCTATTGGGGTATGATGCCCCTGTGGTATTCCCCTCTTGTTCAAAGGCATTTTCATATCTAAAATGTATTTTTGAGTGGACAGTCTTTAAAAGGTTTTCTCTAGAGAGAGAAACGTGGATGAAGAGTGAGGGGAAAAGGAGAAGTTGTAGAGAGAGAAGCTTGGGATTGGAAATTGAGGTTTTTTTGCAATAAAACCCTAGCACCACCATTTGGGGTTCATCGTGGGCCATTTTATCGGCATTTCTTTGCTGTATCGGTGAATCGAAGAAAGGAGTCGATTGTAGGTGATTTTATGGTAGTAAGTTCTTTGTTTAAGCATTTCTTGAAATTGTATGAGGTAACTTTGTATAACCCCAATCTTATAACTTTTTTTCTTGATAGTGAATACACTTTTGCCGTCTTACCCATAGACGTAGCCCATCTTGGGTGAACCACGTATATGTGCGTGTCTTTCTCTACTTTCATTTGTTTTGTGCTTTGAAGATTTCCCATATTGCTTGTTTTATTGTTTTTATATTTTTCTCAATTATTTCACACTTGTTATTGTATCTTAGGCATGTCATTTGAGTGTTGAAATCATTGTGGCAGAGTTCTCACAACATCTAGTGGGATTTGAGATATCCCGTTTTGGTCAAAATCGGTGATTGGGTTATCCTGATTTTACAACAATTGGTATCAAAGCTCAAGGAATTAGTATAATATTTTTTGAAAAAATGGCATCTCACAAGTTTGAGGTGGAAAAGTTTAATGGGAAAGATAATTTTGAAATTTGGAAATTAAAAATGCAAGATTTATTAGTACATCAAGGGCAACATAACACATTACTTGGAAAGGATAAGAAACCAGTAAGTATGATCGATGATGATTGGGACGAATTTGATATGAAAGCACGGGCCACTATTCGCTTGTATTTAGCAAATGAGATTTTGTTTAATATTGTTGGTGAAAAGATGACAAAAGATTTGTGGAAAAAATTGGAAAGTTTGTATCAAACAAAATATCTCACAAACCGAATTTTCTTAAAGAGAAAATTGTATACTTTGATAATGAAAGAATGTGCAAATGTGTTGCAATACTTGAATGAGTTTAATAACCTCATTTGTCAACTTGAGAGTATTGTTGTGAGAATGAACGATGAAGATAAGGCGGTGAACTTACTTTTTTCATTGCTGGAATCATATAATAACATTGTTATTATATTGAGTTGTAGTAAAGATGATTCTTTTGATTTGGGCTTGGTGTGTAGTGTAATTTCGAAAGAAAGCATCTTTGGGAAGTTCGATGGAATCGAAGACGGAAGCTCCTGTGGCAAGATGTCGATCGAATGAATGTGGTGATTCATCGAGGAATCATTCAAGAAATAATTCAAGATTTCAATCAAACTCTAGAGGGCTCAATAACAAAAATATGTGTTGGCATTGTGGGAAACCCGATCATATAAAGAATAATTCTTTTAAAAGAAATGGCGTGAATTCTTCCAAAGCTCCTAATGCGGGAGGTGAAAAGCCAAGTGAATCAAAGAATGAAGCAAATCAAGTTGAAGAGTCTACATCCGGTTTTATGGAAGATGAAGTATTGGTGGTGGCATATAATTCAATATTATATCAAAATTGGATACTTGATAGTAGAGTCACCCATCACATGTGCCCTCGTAGATCATGGTTTGACTCATATGAATCATGTGAAGGAGGATCAGTAACCATGAGAAACAATTCCACTAGCAAGGTGGTTGGAATGGGTTTGGTTTGCTTAAAGATATTTAATGGGTCTATTGCAGCAATTAAAGATGTTAGGCATGTGCCAGAACTAAAAAGCATGCAAAGTATTTGGATCCACATAATCTTTGTGCCACCCAGGTGCGCGAATTTCTCTAGTAGAGCGCCCATGTGCCAAAAGCACAACTTCATCATAATGGCCATGTGGTTCTTCATTTTGACTTCCTAGTTGTTCATGCTCTTCACTTTCAATGTGTATATTCTCATAAGGCGTAATTGTACTTGTTAGAAATATTTCGGGGTTGCCTTGAAATTCTTGGCTCTCTTATTGTACTTCTTAACTATTGTCATTTATCATCATCCATTTTGCCAATACCTTGGATTCATCAAAATACACATCACAGCTAGTGATTATTTTTGGGATACTTGGATCCCATAACCGGTACCCCTTCACACCTTTGGTATAACCCACAAAGATTCATTTCTTTGATCTTGGATCCAACTTGTTCCTTTGGCAACTTGGAATAAATGTATATGCATCACAACCAAAAAATTTTAAATCAGAGTAGTCACTTAGAGTTTCATAACATACCTCATTAGGAGTTTTACTTTCCAATACTATCGAAGGTGATCGATTGATAAGATAACAAGTCATTGATATGACTTTCGCCCATAATTCTTGTTTTAGGGTGGCATTACTTATGTCTATAATTCTTGTTCTAGGCCGGCATTGCTTAACATGCACCTGCACGCTCCATCAAAGTGTAATTCATCCTCTCAGTGATACCATTTTGTTGAGGATTGTAGGCATTTGTATAATGCCTAGTAATTCCCTCGACCATGCAAAAATTTTCAAATTTTTTTAATACGAACTCTGCACCGTTATCGGTCCAAAGAACTTTGATATGATGCCCCGTAAATTTTTCAACTTCGGTTTTAAAATTATTGAATGCTCCAAATATATCACTTTTAGACTTGAGAGTTTTGATCCATACATTTTTTGTGAAGTAATCAACAAATGAAACAAAATATAATGCACCTTCATAAGATGTAGTTGGTGAACGACCCCATACATCAGAGTGAACGTAGTCAAGCTTGCGCTTGCTTGTATATTTCCCGGCCTAAAAAGGTTGTCTATATTTTTTCAATAGACACAATGCTCACAAAATTCGAATCCATCAATTTTAAGTGTAAGAATAAAATTCCTCTTCATCAAAACCTCCATTCCCTTATCACTCATATGCCCCAATCTTCTATGCCATAGGCGATATAAAGTTCATCACCTTCGACCACAGAATTCACTTTATCATTTATTATTGTGCTTCTCAATAACTTGTACCAGCTCCCAATTAAGACTCCTTTCATCACAATTAGAGTCTATTTTGATACTTTGATTACTTCACCTTGACTGGTGAACTTATAACATTTCGAATCTAGATAAGAGAGGGAAATCAAGCTTGATAATCGCAAATGAAGAGCCAACATCATTCCGTAAAGCCATTGATATCAATGGTACCAAGCATTGGAAAAGAGCTATGGAAGAAGAGATATTGACCCTTCAAAGAAACAAGACTTAGGATTTGGTGGAGCTACCAAAAGGTAGAAAGCCGTTAGTTGTAAATGGGTGTTCAACATAAAGAAGGGGTTTGATGGCAAGCTTGAAAGATATAGGGCAAGATTGATGGCAAAAGGCTTTTCGTAAAAAGAAGGGATTGACTTTGATGAAATTTTTACACCGATTATCAAGTTGGTCTCAATTCGCTTTGTGCTTGATTTAGTTGCTATGCATGATTTAGAGCTTAATCAAATGGATGTGAATACGGCTTTTCTGTATGGAGAACTTGAAGAGAAAATGTACATGCAACAACCGGAAGGCTTCATAGAGTAGGGTAAAGGACTTGTGTGTAAATTGAAGAAGTCCTTGTATGGGCTCAAGCAAGCATCAAGACAATGGTACAAAACATTTGATATGTTCAGTGTTATCACAAAGGATTGAGGCATCAAAACATTTGTGATAATATGAGTGTTATCCATTTGGCCAAGCACCCGGTTCACCACAAGAGGTTAAGGCACGTATTGGTTCAATATCACTATATTCGAAGAGTTCAATTGGTCAAGATCAAGAATGAAGATAGTCTTGCGGATATGCATACGAAGCCCATCAAAGTAGAGAAGTTAGAATGAAGTCTAACCTCTCTAGGTTTCAAAAAACAAAAGAACTGATGGATTGGCAAGGCAAGTGTGTGATTTTGCATCAAGGTGGAGATTGTTGGGGTGTGATGTCAAATCACCCCCTGTGGTATTCCCCTCTTGTTCAAGGGCATTTTCATCCTTAAATGTATTTTTGAGTGGAGGGTCTTTAAAAGGTTTTCTCTAGAGAGAAGCGTCGATGAAGAGTGAGGGAGAAAGGGAAAGTTGTAGAGAGAGAAGCTTGGGGTTGGAAATTGGGGTTTTTTTGCAACAAAACCCTAACACCACCATTTGGGGCTCATCTTGGGGCATTTTGTCGGCATTTCTTCATGGCATCGATGAATCGAAAAAAAGAGTCAATTGTAGGTGATTTTATAGTAGTAAGTTCTTTGTTTAAGCATTCCTTGAGATTGTATGAGGTAACTCTATATAACCCCAATCTTATAATTTTTCCTCTTGATAATGAATACACTTTTACCGTCGTACCCATGGACGTAGCCCATCTTGGGTGAACCACGTATCTGTGCGTGTCCCTCTCTAGTTTCATTTGTGTTGTGCTTTGAAGATTTTCCATATTGCTTGTTTTATCGTTCTTATATTTTTCTCAATTATATTGCAGTTGTTATTGCATCTTGGGCATGTTATTTGAGTGTTGAAATCATTGTGGTGGAGTGCTCACAACATCTAGTAGGATTTGAGATATCTCGATTTGTTCAAAATGGGTGATTGAGTTATCCCGATTTTACAACACTATCCTTGGTAGGAATTGAGCCTAGGACTTAACATTGTAAATCGTCAAGCGTTAACCAATTAAGCCCGGGCTCTATTCCTAGAAAAAATGACTAATGGTAGGATTAATCATTAGTCTCTACATAACATATTTCCTAGAAAAAGTTCCCGAGCTTAATTGATTGCCGCTTGACGATTTGCAATGCTACGTCCTAGGCTCAATTCCTGTAAAGGGTAGGGGCCCTCTCCCACATACTCACAAAAAAAGAAAAAGAGAGAGAGAGAGAGAGAAAACACATTTCCTCTTGTTTATGGGGCCTTGGGATCCAATTTTGTAGTTACCCATTTAGTGGAGCAAGACATATTTTTTGTGTTATTTATGAAATGTACTCCTACCGGAGCACATTATACTTTACTCTGGGGCAAAAGACCTACTCAAGAAGATTTGCCGGTCAAATTTTATGTGACTACAAAATGAGTAGTTTCCAATGAACAAAAGTGGAAAAGAATAAAAATAATTAGATTTTCAGTTCTTAAATACTTGAATCTAGCCATCCGATAATTGGACATTCAATCTTAGAACATTGTTAAAAAATGAGTAGTTTCCAATGAACAAAAGTGGAAAAGAATAAAAATAATTAGATTTTCAGTTCTTAAATACTTGAATCTAGCCATCCGATAATTGGACATTCAATCTTAGAACATTGTTCATTGCATAGAGTTGTATATTTTTTTGTTCTTTTCTTTTGTTTGTTCTTTTTTCTTTTTTTTTGAAGTCGGTCCGTTGGTTGAAGAGGTTAAATTTCCAAAATTCCAGCCCCAAAAATGCTTGCAAATAGGACTTTAACCAAGGGATTGAATGTATCATATTCTGTCATAAGTCATACCAACTCTTATAATTATAACTTTGCAAATTGTAAGGCTTTGGCTTGTAGGGATATCTATAAAAAAAAAACTAAACTACCAGCCAGTAAATAAAAAATTAAAGCTTTTTATGAGTATCTTTTTTTGCTATCTATTTTTGGCATAAAGAAGTCATAAGTCACAAGTCACTATTAACTATCAAATATGAAATTAGGTGACTAAAGATATGTCATTGATTGAGCACAAAATATTTGAGATTTCACATTGAGGGCTAGAAATGATTTTAACCTCTTTGCACAAAACAATAAAGGGGAATGATCGGTAATGATCATGTGTATTTACAGCACACAAGTATAGAGTGATCTTAGCCCTCTACAGTGAGATCTAGCTCGAATCTCAATATCAAAATCCTCTCACTTGCCAACCTATTCATCAGGTTATCCAATTAATTTTCAATTTTGCCCCTGATCTATTTGGTATTTCAATTTTAGGTATTTCCCCTCTCTCTCTTCTATTTCTCTCTTTGACCTTTGGTTTCTCTCTTCTTTATTTTTATTTTATTTTTCTCTCTCGTACTTTTAGGGCTTTTCTTCTCTCTCTTGGTTCTCTCTACCCCTCTCTCTTTCAGCCTCCCTCCCAAAGCTATAACCTCTTCCTCTCTCGTTTCTCCTTTCTCCACAGGTCTCTCGTGGAGTTGGTTTCTCCTTTCTCCACAAAGGAGGATGAAACTCTTTTCATGCGTGAGTAAGCCCACCATTCTCCATTTAGAGCTCCTCCCCCACTGCAACAGGCTTTACGAGAGATTCATGGAGAAAGGAGAAACAAGAGAGGTAGAGGTTATAGCTTTAGGAGGGAGGCGGAAAGAGAGACAGAGAGAGAGGGAGAGAAAGAATGAATATAGAGAGAGAGGGACAGAAAGAGAACGAAGAAAGAGAGGGAGAACGAAGACAGAGAAGGGAAACCCAAAAGTCAAAAAGAGAGAAGGAAAAAAGAAGACGTACGGATTAATAGGGTTTGGTTAGGAGTACAACTTAAAATTAGTCGGATAACGTGATGAATAGGTTAGCAGGTGAAAGAGAGTTTTGATTTTGAGATTTGAGGTAGATATGACGATAGAGGGCTAAAATTACTATATAATTTGTGTATTAGACAGGATCATTTCTTATAGTTTACAATCTTTTTTTAAAATAATAGAAATCCCTATATGTTAAGATTTGACATGAGTTGCAACCCTTCTCAAAACCTTTACATTCTTTAGAGTGATAAATTTATTATTATTTAATTTGTGGCACAGGATAAGGAGAACAACGCGGTTGCTCCACTTCAGGGGACCCGACATAAACATGCATCTTGGGGTTTGATCGACCGTTGAATATGCAGTTAGTCAGAGTGGTGCCCGCGTCCTAGTCTCCGAATGGGAATTTCAACTCCAATCGTTTGTACTCGAAAAGATTAATGCCTCACGATTATATAGAGACCGTTCAATTTTTTAAGGATTAGATCTAAGTATCACAAAACCTAAAATTTGAGCGAGGGAGAAGATACAACGTATCCTCCCTAAGGAACATAGTGTATGCGCTCTTGTTTCTAAACCAAATTCAAAAGCCTCTCTCTCCCCGGACCGTGTTTCTAACCCAAATTCAAAAACCGCTCTCAAAATATATATGAAATTTATCTGGGGAGGTCATTTTTGGTTTTTTTGAGACACCTGGTTATGCTACAGCCAATCACATAGAAATGTCCAGCTCTTGCTTCATGTGTGGTTGAGGGTGATTCAATAAATGTTATTAATTGTCGCACAAATTTGCAGCATGTGCCATGGTCTTTAAAGCCGTCGTGAGGTGAGATAATTGATCTGATTGGAGGGTTAGTGGTTTCATTCCAACATGTTTATAGGGAGGTCAACTATTCGGTTGATACTCTAGCTAAAAGAAGGGTGAACTCATCATTGCTTTTGGTTTCTGATGATGTGAGCCAGTTGTAATTTTCTTCTAGATCAATAAAGTTAATAACAATGGTCCAAAAAAAAAAAATCATCAATTTACTGAAAAATTAACTTACTTTGATTTTTGAAATTTTTTTAATATATATTTTTAAAAATGTTGCCAGCTTGGTGCAGATGAACTGTTTCACTGGGTTTGTTGGGAACCTGCCTATTCGGCGACCCGATTCAGTTTTCTAAGAACGTACTTATTTTAGTACCATACCTCTCATCAAAAGTTTATTCTATTCCTACGTCATTAGCATGTACTAATATTCTCTCTTACGTGCTATATCAAATGGAAGGAAATTTATATACAGAACGGGTAAAAGTTACAAATTACCCTTTGATCCATATCTTCAGGAATTTTAATTGAGGTTCTTCTGTTTTTTGCAATTGTACTTTTCTAATTTTGCGCTTAATTTGATTTTTTTTTTTTTTACATTTATGGGGCATTCTTATGAATAAGATATCGAACCACTCCGTTCCTAGATCGCCGGATGAAAAATGGAGATTTGGAAGATGTTCACGCCTTGTAAGTCCAATGCTTTGAAGGCATAGGAGAAAAAGAACAGCTTTTTTTACTTAATAAAATGCAGAAAAGGTAGCGACCGTGTCTACAAGAGTTTAATGTGGCAGTATATTTGAATTTGTGAAGTGAGACAAAAGAAGAGGATTTGTTTTCCGCTTTTTTAAAAATTCTCTTCTGAAAATAAAAGGAAGGTGAAAACAAGGCATGGGTCTTAGAGAGGAGGTTAAGGTGGGGCCAATCTTCTTACATATTTCCCTTCTTTCTTTGATGTGTATAGATATAGAAATATGGGTTGGTATTGCTTTTAATAGTTTAAATTGAACCATGCTCATCCAAAGGGCCAATAATGAATCTTGTTTTTTATTTTTAATTTTTATTAAATATCGTATTAATCTGAAATTTTGGCGTTAAGTTCATTTTTATAAGTAAAATAAATTAATAAAAAATATTTTGAATAAAAAATATTGATCAAAATAAATTTAGAGGTATTTTGGTAATATTTTATTTAAAATATTTTTAATCATTTTTATTTAGTTATATTATAAAAATACACGTACACATTCAGATAAGTACTGTATTTAATAAAAAATAAAATATGAGATTAATTTTTGGCCATTGGATATGGCTATATGAGATCTCAACCATTGGAAGGGTGGTTGTGCACCCTTCCACCTATCTACATCATGTGGACGGGATACTTTTTTCCTAGTAATATATAGTTCATTATTTACACTATCTCTGTAATTTGTCTATTGAGTGCAATGAAAGATGTTTACTTAAGTGCTCCCTCTCTCTCTCTCACGCTCAAATCACACACACACACTTGCACACATAATAGAAAAACCTGAAACAGAGGCAAGAAATAGAGATTGATTCTAAGAGCACCATTTCCTTGCTTCTCTACTCATAAAATACATATATAACCTTTCAAATTTAAATTAGGTGCTCACCTCCTCACCAAACCAAAAGAACAAGAGAATGCCGATGCATACACGGTTAAACCACTTCCTTGCCTTCTTAAAGAGACAATTTTTTTATTTTTTTTTTTGACCCTATCTCCCAACAAGAAACTCTAAGCTTAATCTGGTCTCATTCATCAGAGACCGGCTACAAGCCAATTCATTAACATAACCAGAAACAAAGCAAAAACATCATTGGAAAAGCCTGAGTACCTCTTTACACCACTGCAGGGGCTCCCCTTTCCACTAAAGCAGCCATGGTTCTCCTTAATACCCAACCCCACATCAAGAACAAATGAAGAATTTCTAGCTCCACTGCTAAACAGAACACACCAGAAGAATGGAGGCTTGCCATTAGAGCTACTCAGGCCTACTCCAACCTCTTTGTGTTCTTTACTCAGAATGAAAGATAAAGCCTTCTTTTCCCGAACTAGAACTGCACCAAAGATTTCAGAGGGCTCAAGATACTTATACCAGCACCCAACAATGTGCCCAGAGATAATATTAACAGTGGGGAGCTCAACTCCACAGTTAGGAGCAAAGACCTCTACAATGTCTTCTTCTTGGGTTTTGCATGTCAATGTATTGTTTTTGGAGCAGTTCCTTTCGCAATGCTCTGTATACTGCAGGGCCATGCATCCAAGCCCCGGGTTATTTTGCAGTGTCGGGACCTTGTGAGCTGTTCGATTCTTGTTTATGATGTCGACAAGGTCATCTGCAGGGTTACCTGTAATGATGATCATATTCTGATCAGTGTTGAGCAACTTGAATTGATATTAATTGAGACCAGTGTTTCTAGACTTGGCCGAGTCACTCAGCCTCACCCTATTGGCATTGCAAGTTAGGCACGAGTTGGGGTGTCAAACTCACTAGTCGAGTTGGGTACGAGTTAGGTGCCAAACTCACCAAGCACCACAAAAAATAGCTAAAAAAATGTAAAAAAAGAGGAAAATACCAATATATAATTTAGAAATATGTTTTTACATTATTTTGATGGTTTTTAAGATGATTTGGAAACTTTCATGTTTTTCCTTTTTATTTTTAAAATTTTCTGAAATATTCAAGTTAAAAATTAATGGTGCTCTATACTTATGATTTCCATACTCAAAAGTTTCAATGTGAAATATTGTTACCAAAACAACTGCTTCTTTTCTCTCTATGACAAAAGTTTTGTAGCATAATTATTGCTGCCAGTTTCATATTCTGTCGTACAATTGCGATGTTTTTGTAGCATAATTATTGCTGCCATTTTCATATTCTGTCGTACAATTGCAATGTTTTCCAAGGTTCACCTTTTGGGGGTAGAACCCTGGGTCTATTATTATAAACCAATGAAAAGTTTCATAATACATGTGTAGTGATAGTTTCTTAGTGATAGAAACGTTCAGGCATAACAACGAAACTGAGTAATTTGCTAGGACCACCAAGCTGTTTAGTAATTGATTTCTTGGTAAGTGCACATTAGTTCAAGAGAGTTGAATTCAGCAAGTAAGGATAAATTGATCTTATGCTTTGTTTATGTAGATTATAAAGGCTTATTCGGTGAGCCTTGACAGATAAAAGCAATTCAGGTTTTTCGTGAGGATTTATCTGCAGGGTTAGATTAACAGCATTACATAGTATGTCACATGAATTGAAAGTCTGAATAGAATGATCTACTTTCCTTCTTAAATTGTCATCAACAATGGAAGGACTAAAATACGTGATAGAATTGAAAATTTTGTTTCAAGAAGTAAATACATGCGTATCTAGAGTTTATCCATGAGTACCGAATGGTATTTAGCAACCTGATTCCAAGAAAATTGAAGTTGGACCCTAAAATCAGAAATCACAAAAGTGTCTCACCAATGCAAAGTTTTGACATGGCTTTATTGGATAGAAAAGGAAATCAAGCTAGACTACAAGTTACAGCACATAGAACTCATATGTCTTAGCAATCTAGTCTTCTGCATTAGGTACAAATTGAAGAATATATTTCTTACATGAGACTCACAATATGGATTGCTCACCAAACCAAAGAAACTATGGAAGAGTACAAAGAGTCTTATCATTAGATGGTCTTTCCAAATCAGTCTATTGGATCATCCAAAAATGAATAATTACAAAAAAAAAAAAACTCTAAAATTGTTGTTAGTGATGATTGATGGACAATCTGGGAACGTATATTTGTATTGGGGAGACTTCTTTTCACAATTGAAAGAGCTTGCATCCATCTTAATCAAATAGACCACGAGGAAGGTTTTCCTTGAAGAACTTCCAAGAGACAGCTTGGAGGAATTTGTGTCAACTTGTGAATGAGAGAGAAAATGAGGACTACCATTTTTAACATAATCTCCAGATTCACGCTTGTTGGCTAATGGAATAGTTACTAGAGGATGAATAAATCCCCACATTTTAGCCTCTATTGTCCCCATAATCCGTGGTGTTTTTTTGTGTCCTAGATTTTGAATTTTCCAATCTGGTCATGAATTCATCTTCATCCTAAATGCTTTTCTCTAGAATGGCCATTGTTCTACCTTTGGCATACACTAACAACTTTCTTCATCAATTACATTCCTAACCGGAAATGAATGACCAAGTGACTTTACTGTTCAATCTTTTCTTCACTGTGTTTCCCAGGCTAACATTGTGATCTCTGATGTTACTTTCCTCCTTTGTGGGTAGATAATCTCCGGTGTTCCTTGAATCATAATTCAAGAAACAACGAAAAGTACCACCTTGGTGCTCTTCTTCTTTATTGATTGTTTGTTTTTTTGGGGTGGGGTTTGGTTCTAAGGGGTTAGACCAAAGGCCGAGGGTCATATTACTTTTGCTCGATAGCTATGTCTAAGAAATAGGAAATGGCAGCACCCTTCAAGTGCCCTCTGATACGCTAGTCACTTTAAGCCTCTAACTTCTCAACAATTTTCCAGCAAATTACAGCAACCAGTTACATCTATTACTCCGTGCGCATGAGTTCGATTCTAGCGCATGGTCTGTCTTACATGCAAGGTCTGTAAAACAAAGTTCCCCATGATGCCTAGTATTCTTGGCTTGTAGTTTACTGGATAATAACTGAGACCTAAAAAGATGCACTTAAGCGCAGGCAGGAAGTCGCACATGATGGACACTCTTTGGAGGTTTCATGTTCCAGTGATTATATGGAGGATATTTTCAGAGGAATTTCAGAGGCCGAAGTCTGGGTACAATTAATCAAGATTTTTCAAGGAGAAAGCAGTTTGGAAGGTGATTTGCTGGTGCTGTAAATTACACATCGTACTAGACATGAAAATTAGAGATGACTCACTGATGGCTCGTATTTGCTCTTTTTGATAAAGCGACGCTTCATTTGCCAACCTACCCTTTGGGAATGAGAAACAGCTAAGACCATATAGCAATAATGCAACAGCTTTTGTTACACTACATTGAGAAGACAAAATGTTGTAGCTACGTAAAGTAGCTGCAGGGAATGTGATAAATTTGCAGTTCATTCTTCATTCAATGGGGTCATTGATCAACAAGAAAATACAAGTGACCATCACAAGAAAAATTAGGAATTTGCAGAGTTTGGAGGGACCTGTGGATTCATCAGATCCAATAAAATCAGATATTCTGTTGGACAACTTACTCTTTTGTCCACCACCAAGTTGAGTTGGTCTTGCAATTTCATTGGATTTTTTGTCTTTGTAGGGGCTTCCAGGTTTAAAAGAATTTAAAAATTTGACATCAAGGCTGCTGATATAGAGTTCTAGAGTCAAATATGTGACCTCCAATTTTATGCACCATGATAAAGATAAAAAAGGAAAGTATTAATATCATTATTGGAAATTTTTCGGAGATGTAATTTCTCATAAACAATGGAACTCACCAGCCAAGTTAGGCATGAGTTGGGGTGCGGACCTCACCAATCACCATAAAAAATAGCTAAAAATATGTAAAAAAATGTTTAAAATACAAAAATTTGGAAAATACCAATAGATCATTGAAAAATATGCTTTTAAATGATTTTTTATGGTTTTTAAGATGGTTTGGAAAGGGTCACCACTAGAAAAAAAGAGTCACCACTCCAAAAAACTATGACTTGACGATGGCTCACAATGAAAACTTGTCTCATCTGCTCTCTCTCTCTCTCCCCCCCCGCCCCCCACGCTCAAAAAAAAGAAAAAAATACCAACACAGATGCACCCGTACACACACACACACAGAGCTGAATCCAGTCTGATATGACCAACTACTGATGACCCACTGAAAGTCAGGCTCCACTATGCAAGAAATCACTCTCCTATGCCCTGAACACAATAATGTAGATTATATAGAATGTACAAACCACACCCTATACCTATCCTCAATCATCAAAATTGCTATCCCCTTCATCCCTTCGTCAATTCTTACACAACAAAGGAGTGCAAGTCTGAGATCCAAAAGGGCTTTCTATTAGCTAATATGTTCTGAAGAACCCAAGTCCTCCCCAAAAGCCCTCACAGCTAAAATCATTTGACTCTACCTGGCGTCTTGACTCTTTGATTCACAGATGAAAATGACAACAGCACAGCACTCATCGATTTAGTCTCACAGTGAGTAAACAAAAGATTTTAACATATATGTATGTAATTCTATGACTGAGATTCACTAGAAGACAACTACTACAATGTAACCAGGGGTATGCCTCCTAGAGCTCCTTGTTATTATCAAAATAGATAATCTAATAAAAATAATAAGAGGAGAAATATGAGCTGGCCCAATCAAATGATCAGAAAACAGAGAAACCACAAGCACAAATTACATAAAACACTATAAACTCACTTGAAGAAAGTAGGAAGTCCCTCACTTTCAACTTAATTTGTCATAACCCTTATTGACTAATCGACCTGCCATGGCAATATCTTCTGAGGAATGTTAAAAGAAATCCCTTAGACCTGAATACTCCAACCTCCCCATTTAAACCATTTACTCTCAGAGGAACATCTCTATATAGAGAGCCACCTTAAGTCCTAAAATCAAATTTCTTCCAATGTAGAACCTGGTACTTGAAGTCCCTCAATTGAGTTCCACTAGCTTGTATTGGTCATCAATTAACGCATTGCTCACATGCTTAATTAGCTGACATTATTGGTTTTAATGATTTGGGTATTATTACTCTGATGAAACTCTTTGTGAAAAAGAATCATGGCTTGTTCACTCAGGAAGAAACCCAGAAACAGATGTTTCTTGGCACCAAATAAGATCACAAAAGGTCCTTGACATTAAAAAAAAAACTTAAGCTTGAGACCAGAGCTCTTCATGGACTTTTCTTTGATATGCAATAAGGATTACATTTATTGTTGTTTTTGGATCAACTAACAGCTGTTTCTTGACACCATATAAGATCATGAAAGTTATTTGACATTAACCAAGAACTTAAGCTTGAGACTAGTGCTCTTCATGGACTTTTCTTTGATAGGTAATTAAAGATTGCATTAATTGTTGTTTCTGCATTGAGATTAAACCCAATGGGAATCCAACGGAAGCATGAAGACTGTCATTCCAATTTTGAAACTTATGTATTTTTTTGAATTGAGTTGATGCCTATAAGCTTTTTTCCTATTGAAAAATGACCACTATTTTGGTTATTCACTTAATCTTATAAGGTGTAGGTGCTTTTCCCTAGTGTTCAAGGCTCTTTATTTTGGAGGTGTATATGATACCTGGGCCCACTATGGCTCCGGATTCAATTTGAAATCAACATAGTAAGCTAAATTACAGGCAATATGTTGCCTTTGCGGGGGAATCTGCGTTCCCAACATAATTTTAAGGTTCAACAATATCTCAAGAACATAACCCACTAAACTGATGGTATATGTGATAAGAACATGCCATGTAAAAGTGCTTAACCCACAGAAGCAATTCAGAATCCTCATACGGTAACAAAGCTATAGAATCTTAGTAAGCAGCAGTAGGAAAGCATCTTGCTTTGACAGTGAGTAAGATAAAGTACTTGTAGTGATTAGAACAGGGACACCACATCAAAGCATGACACCATTCACCTAAGACACAAATTAATCAGTCAGGAACAATTATGTAGAGCAAATGCTACTTTCACGAATACAACCAAAGAGCTTAATTTACCTATGTGATGGAGACAGAGGGGATGCATCTTTTGTCACAAGATTGTAGAGACATAGAGGCCTCTCTCTCAATCTCTCTCTCTCACACACACACACACAACTAGTCACTCCTATTGACATTTACGCAAGAAGTTTACTGAATCAATCATCATAATTCACAAATTCTCAATCAAAATCTTTTACGCAGAGAAAACTCTACACATGGTCCACGGAACCAATAAACCACATCATATTTGCACAGAGCACGTCGCTCTCACATTCACTCAGTCCATGGCACTTGAATGGGATGAGAGAGAGAGTACCGTGTGATTTGGCCGAGACAGTTGAGAGTAAGAAGAGGAAGAGATGGAAGAGCCTCACCATCCTCTTCTTTAGGCACTGAGAAGAAGAGTAAGCTCCTTCTCTGAACCCAGTACCTTTCCTCTACGAGCTGAGCTGCCATTACTTTTCCTTGTTTTATGGGCGTTGGAGTCTTCAATTTTGAAAAAGTAAGGTATTTTAGGCGCACGAGAATGATGGTCCTCAAGTAAAGAAAGGCAAAGCAGCAAAAAAAAAAAAAAAAAAAAAAGAAGGACAGGGCAGCAGCCATCTTCACAGCCCTGACCCCCATTCCCACTAAAATAAATTTAAAAGTTCTCACCCCCCTGAATGCCAAAATTTCACACACGGTCGACTACACATGCTCCCGGGAGCACGGTTTACAATACTCCTTTCGGTAAATGACCTGTTATTTCCAAGACATCAAATTTTGAGAAAATTATAGATACCCTTAGTCCCAAGTTTTTTTTTTTTTTTATACATTGTGCGTTCTAAACTACTTTTTAGACCGCAGTCCGTTTTGCATCCCCCTAAGTAATAAATAAATAAAAAATTATGACAAAAATACCTTCTTTCTAAATCTATGTTTCTCTTGGTGTTGTTGTTTGTTTCTATTGAAGATGGTTCGGCCCACATAATACCGTCAAGCTGGCTCCCAATCCCTATTGAAGTCGGTGAGCCAGACGGTCTTCATAGCAAAGAAGTCAGTTTGGCACAATATGCTGGCTCGCGGTCCCTAGAGAGAAAAGAGATCCAAAAGTATGGGTTTAGAGGGGGCACATTTTCATCAAAAAAAAAAAAATTTTTTTTTTACTTTAAGGGGGAAGGGGTGCGAAAAAAAAGTATAAAAATGCCAAAATCCTTCCATCTTGCCCTTTCTGAGGTCACTAGGTTCAGTAGGTCACTATCTATTGTTTAGGCCTTAAAAGTTAGTTACATACTTGCACAAGAACTCACAACACCTTCATTGTTGTTTTATTTCTTGTAGGTGGGTTGGATGGGTTTCAAATACGGTTTTACTTCCTTGCACAAGCCAAGATACCAACTGGCGAACTATAACTACATTCGCTCTAAAATCAATGGAATACCTCTTTAGGCGCTTTATCTTTTCCTGGACCTCAGTGCATCTTTTCCATATGTTTTAGATTTCATCTACCAAATATATTTGTCGCAAAAAAAAAAAAAAAAATCTCTATCGAATATCTCTTTCTCGAGGATTTTATCCTTTCAATGTAAAGTATGAAGGACTGTTTCGATCTCAAAGGCTTAGGATTTGCGTTCTATGAACTTTCTTTCGAGTCGTTGCTTTAAGACTTCTGCACAGTATTCCTTTGCAGCAGTGGGTTACCTTGGGGGAAAAACATTGCCAGCTAGTGAAAGTAACACACTTAAAGATTCAAAAAGAAAAAGCAAAAAAGGGGACTTTTGCGGTGGGGACTGTCTTTGATTTAGATGGTTGAGGGCCTTGATGATCCCGATGGGTTCGCGTACTCAACATCCACCATCCATGCTTTATGGGTGGGGGAGTTAAGCAACTATTCTTGTGAAAATATTGGGCTGTAAAGCATGCGATAATTCATCTACCACTGTCTTCAGATAAAAATGAAGTTCATCTGATATTGGGCCTGAGTACTCTATTTCATACTCCAAGGGTTTATGGAATCTTTATCCCATCACTCTGCCTAAAAATGGTCTCTGCAACAAGTGAAACCACTTCGCATGCTGAGTTAAGGGCCTCAATATCGAGTTCCCAATTTTATTAGTAAAAAAATGTCCAAAAATGCAAATACTGGACACCTTTTTTTAAAATAATAGAAGTAACCATAGTTATTTTGGTAAGCACTTCCTTTTTTTTTTTTGAATGTTGTTTTGGTTAGCACTTCTTTATTTTACATAAATTGACTTATATTATCATAAAATATTTTACGGTAACAATCTCAAATTTTTACGCTATTTTTAGTTATTATCCATTTTCTTTTGGGATTGCATACAATGAGATCATTTAGCTTTGATACAAGGTAGTCACAATTACTTACAATCATCCGATGTGAAATTTGATAGTTTGGATGTGTCACAAAGTTTGAGAAAATTTCTTGTGAAGTTTGAGTTTGGTCAATGGAATAATTGCAACCAACCAATTTTACATCCAATGGTCAAGATTAATATGACCACCCTGTACCAAAGGTAAAAAATCTCTTTCTATACTCTTTTTTTTTTTTCTCTTTTTACTGTTTTTTTTGCTTTTAATCAAACACCGCTTTTCCTAAAATAATGGTCCTACGCCAATCATGTTATGTTGTGATCACTTTTTATACCTTGCATACTATTAGTGGTGCATGAGGCCCAAATCTTGCCAGAAAAACTAGTATTGGCACTGAAAACCAGCATTTCTACCTTAATGAATGTGGATGTTACAAAAAAAAATTAATTATTTTAAAAATGATCTATCCTGTAACATTTTTTTATATCACCAACAGATCTACACTATTTTGGAACTCCAAATTCCAGAACTAACAATGATAATCAATTTTCAAGCTACATACCTACTTTGTGGCATCAGGACGGCCCTCTTTGGCAGGATTTGGGCCACGGCTATTGACTGTACACAAATGCGGCCTCACGAAAAACCTCACCATAACTGAAATTCCGAATTAGTTCAAAATCTGTGAGACAAATTAATGTGCTGAGGCCTATGGATCAGATGAACTAGTGTTAGTCTTCAAAAGATAAAGGGAAAAGATGATTTGCAAGCCAATTACTATTGTGGGCTCCCAAACACTCCATGGGCATGCATGGGTTATAACGAGTATTATTCCATTTTCATTTTACTTTTGCACTAAAACTCGCTCTCTCTCTTATGATCGAATCTGGAACTGCCAATCTTCAATGTCTTTCAAATTTTCATATCTAATTATAAAATTTTGAACTCCATAAATGGTTAAAATCAAGCAGATATATAAACATACTAAAATCTTGATAATAGACGGTCTATATAACGTATTGCAAGATGCACTATTTATAGGACTTAAAATATTTTTTTTTCCATATTCATACATATCAATGTCGAGATGATCAACATTAAAACAACTTTCGATAGATTTTTGAGGTGCGTATGTAATTCTACATTTTAAGGTTACAACCTTATCTTAACTTTTTCCATTTAAAAATAGTAAAAAACATTTTAATTTTACTTTGGTTGGCTTGTTAAATTTCCAAAGATACCAACTTTGACCCTCAAAGGTTTGAAGTGGCTTTCACGAGCACTAGCTTGACCCTCGTTTGTGAACACCAAATCAACAAATTGGCTTGTGTTAGCACCAATTCAACCCTTCAAGGGTAGATCTACCTTTCGGTGTGTAACACACCTATGGAGGCAAGTTTGACCCTTGAACGGGATTGTGTCTTGTACAAACACAACCCCTTCAAAGATCAAAATCGTTGTCGATGTGTGAGCCACACTTGCATAAGCCAGTTTAACCCTTGAAGAACTAAATTGGCTTGTGCACCCTTGATTTAAATATGCTAATTCGACCTTTGAACATAGGTTCGAACTATTGATCGCAAAGTCAAATTGCCTCTTGGTATGAGTAAGCACTTACACAACTTAGTTTAATTTTTGCGTGATACCTCACTCAAGAAGGTTGAAATGGTGCTCACCAAAGCCAGTTTCAGCCTTGAAGGGTCGAATTGGTGATTACAAATAGTTAGTTCAACTATTCGAATGAGAGGTATTCTTGGAAATAAAAAAGAACTAGCAAAAAAGCGACCTCTTTATAAAATTGAAAAACTTTTGGACTATTTTTATTTAAAAAAAAATCAGATATTCATATGTTCAATTTCTTAAAAAAATTGTATCACATTTAGAGCTGTTATATCATATCAATGTTTCAAAATCTAGATTGGTGGGGGTGAATCATCTACTTCACAAATTTGTGCCGAATTGTTAGATTGCCAATTTGGATCAATTCGAATTGATAATAAGAAAAACAACTTTAAAATTAAGGGTTTTTTTTTTTTCCTTGGGGTGGGGGGCTAATAAGGCATTATAGCGACCGATGAGCTTAAAAAGAACTGAAAAAAGAACAGAAAAAAAAAAAAAATAGTTTTTTGGGTGGAGGATTGGGCAGTACATATTTTTACTTTTACTTTTATTTTTGACATGTTAACGATAAGAATGGAGGGTCAGACATTACGATAATGTATCAACCCCCCAAATTGACAATGCCCCAACCCCATTCCTTTTGCCTTTTTAAAGAGTCGAGTCCCGAACATTTCTCAATCCGGTTCAATATCAGATTTAGATTCGTGAAACAAGTTGGGTCTGGACCAATTCTCATTCCATTTGATTTTTGCTTTAGATTGGGGAAACAAGTTTGGTCTCGACTGATTTGCAGCCGATTCGATTTCTGCTTGGATTGGTGAGGTAAGTTCGGTCGTACCGACTCTCGATTTTAAAACACCGCGAGTGTCATTGCATTTTGTACAATAGACAATTATGTCACAAGCTAATAAATTTTCAAAAGAGACAAAATTAGGGCAAAATGGCGAGAGATTAACGTTAAAGCTAATGGCATTGGAAGCGAAAACGCCAACGCCAAAACATAATAATAGTGTGTATCCTGTGTGAGCTCTATTTCTCGAACTTTCTATTTCTCTTTCAAAAGTCGGGTTCTTGTTCTCTCTCCCCGCCCTAAGCTCTTTGTATTTGCGGAGTCTCGTCATATTAGTGGTGTTTCTCTCTCTTATCCATGGCTTCCTTTATCTATGGATCAGTTTCACTTCCTCTCTGTTCGTTTTCTCTCAAGACAGACCATCCCTCATCAGGTACTCAACTTCTATCTCATTACCATTTCCATTTGCCATGGTTGAGGCACGGGGAATTAAGAACATCGTTTCATTCTCTCACTAGAGTTTGTCGTGTTTGGTCATATAACAGTATCGAGCAGGTTGCCTAATCGACTGCAAAGCCTAAGGATAAACGCTGCGGTGGCTAAATGGGAACCCTCTAAGGTCTTTCTCTCTCTCTGCTTGCAGTTATTCTTCAGGGCCTGCCGAATATATCAACAGTTTATGAAATTACTAGCTTTTTACAAAATTAGTTATGAGCATCTGTGTGTGTGTGTCTACTGTGTTTTCATCCTGTTTCCCTTCAGGCTTGCTCGGTAATTGTTTATGAAAGAAAATCTTGAATTGCTATAATTTTCATGGAAAATCTCCTTTGGAAACTTTCTCTCTCTCTCTCTCTCAAAAGATATTTTCTAAGAACACTTGGTGTTAAAAGTCACCAGTATTTACATTTTCTCTAAATTTTTTGAATGTGTTGTTTGGTTGGTTTGTTTATTGTGGGTATGCTTTCTCTGTATGCACTATGCAGGTCGTTCCACAGGTAGACAGGGTCTTGATACGCTTAGAGGAGTTGCCTCAAGTATCTTTCTATTCTTATCTTTCTTTGGATTCTTCTCCTTGAGCCTGGATAGTTTTCCTTTGTTAACTTTGCTTTCTTAGTTGATATACTGAATATATATGCCCCCTAATCCATTTTAGGGTGTTCAGACTATGGAGTAATTTATCATTGTACTAAACAATTTTGGACAACTATATACCATTGTTTTATACATGGAATATTTTTTTTAGTAAGGGTATTTTTGATCATTTGGATGGGTGTGACATCATCCACATAGGGTGTGATGTTACTCACTTGGACACACTAGTGGCATTTAATGCGTGGGTTATATGTCAACTGATTCCTTGTGGAGATAGGTTTCATATGTGTATAACTAATTGTTGCACATAGGCATCTGAGCTTGTCTTTAAAAAGGCACATTATTGTTCCATTAATACACTCTAGTGCCGTAATGACTTTGTCAATTGTCATTTGGTGCTGTGTGTATGTTTCATACAAATGGAAAAACATGTATGCGGAGTATTTGCAGCTGAAGAGAACTGAAGGGTAATATGTAAATATTAGTGAAAGAGTAATGAGGAGAAAGAAGGAAAAGGACTGGAAATGATAAGAAAATTATATTATCTCTTACTATGTCATTATCTGATAACTAACCATAATTGTTATTGTTTGGGCTGTCATTATATGAAGCCCTTATATAAATGAGTTAGATTCCATTCTTCCTGGGGAAGCGGAAGCTCTCTTTCAAAGAAAGAAAACCTTTCATGAGAAAAACTTGGCTTTTGCAATTACTAGACTAATCATGAAAGATTGATTGGCAAGGTGAAGATGAAAAATTATGTCTCAAATTTTATTTTATTCAAACTTCATGCTTTCTTAATAGCTTGTCATGTACTACATAGACGAAAGCTGTGAAAGCATATCTCTCATGAGAGGCATTTATGTAAGTGCATTTTGTTGTTAGGACAAGTTGTAGATATGACTTATGATGGTGCCAAACATTGATTATAGTGAGAAAACTGGAAGACGGCAATGTAGATCTAGCCAAGTATATGAATTTAAAATTTTTTCTCGCTTTTTTTTATTTATACCTGCTAGTCCACTTACATAAGCGAATTACAATTCAAAAATCATAAAACAAACCCTACTACAATCTAGGATCCTCACATAAGATATAGAAAAATACAAAGCATAAATTGAATCTTGAAACGTGGAAGCACTTTGCGAGATAGATTACCTCGGATCATGTCCAAGGACATAGCACCCCCCACTCCAGGGTTTTAGGCCATCTTAATAAGATTAAATCTGGGCCGTCTATCTCTGGTGAACTGTGAGGTGAAGAGAGGCTTCCAATCTCAAGCTTCCATTCCCTAAACCAGCCATGAGAGCACAACCAAGTCTTCTAACAAAGAACATGACATAGGATGTGCCACCGACCCACCGTTCTGATTTTAGGTGGGCTAAGGCATGCCACCCTTTTGAGCTTAGATGGGGTGTGGCACCTCTTTAGGGCTAGGGCTAGAGACTAAGGTAAATAAGAGAGAGATAGAGGATATTGAGGAGGTGCATGAGAGAGAGAGACAGATCTGAGATGTCTTCTACAGGCCACACTAGTGGGTCTATTTATAGTGCAAAATTAGGATTTCTAAGGTTAGGGTTGCCATCATAAAGAGATTTGATCTTGACCGTTGATCTAAGGAGATATATGGGGTAAAGATAGGCTTTCAATCTTAGCCCTCCATTCCCTAAATTAGTCACCATCATTAAAGGGAAGGTTTTAGAACTATTATTCCCTCAATTTCCTTGACCCATTTTCTCTCATTTCAAAAAATATAAAATTTATTCCCTAAATGTCTTATAACTGCTCTTTATGAAAGTGGAAAATCACTCTCTCTCTAAATCTTCAATCAATTATTCACAAAATATTTCATCTCCTTCTAGAAGGCTTGTCCAATAAGTCAAAGAGAAAAAAAGAGAGAGGTGGGGCATGGTTGCATGGAAGGCCCTTTGTTAGCCCCACATTCCCCAACCTAGTGGGCCACCCACATGTGTGACCCACTTGTATTGGGTCCCACGTGTCGTTAATAAATTTTTAAAAGATAATTTAATATTTTTAAAATGGTTCTCTATTTTCAAATGCATGAATCTTTTCTTTTGCTTATTAAAATTCATTTTGAGAAAAGAAAATATATAGAGCATTTAAAAATTCATTTCAATGTTCCATGATTCAAATAAAACATCATTAAACATAATTAAATGGGAATTGGATGCATCGGGTCAAGAAACACGTGAAATAATTGAGGCACTCCTACCATGAACCATTGTCATCTTCTCAAACCAACTCAATGAAACCCATGACCCACAGTCTATCGTAGGGGCTCATAATTGGTCTATCAAAGCTGACCAATAAATGAAAGGAAATAGGTCATAGTGTGTGGATTTCAGTTTCCCTCCTAAAGAGAAGTCACAAGTCACTATTGCAATTATGTAGGGGTCCTCTCGTCGGCACATGTACCGGACACACCCCTAGGGGTCACTCCCTAAACACGGTTATCATATATATATGCTGTGTGCTGGCAATGTTGAGGATTTGTCCCTTGCCTTCACAGGCCTGATAATCGCATGCAGGAAACCCAACAGTCCGCTGCCCAAAAAACCCATTTTGGGCATCTCTTTGATCTCAACAAGGGCTGACCTTGTAAACCTTCCACAATTGTGTCTTATGCCCAAGGATAAAGGGTTTTTAGGGTCCATCCTGATCCTAGGCCGTCAAACTCAGGTGAGTCACCGCATCACAAGAGATGCCACTCCGGTCCCATGAACCACACTCCTGTGGGAGTCAATATATCACTATCGTAACAAAATTTTATGTGCTCTTGTAAGACCTTTAAATGGACATAGAATCCTAACACACAAACACACACACACAGGTGGGGGGTGTGGGTCATGGAAAGCGCATGTGGGCCTTCCTTGCCCCACACCAAGTGGGCCACCCAAATGTGGGCCCATAGCCGTTGGGTGGGCCTTCCTCGCCCCGTACCAAGTGGGCCACCCGCATGTGGGCCCATAGCCGTTGGGTCCTCATGTGGTCCCGTGAATTTTAGTATCCCAAAATCTAATTTTAAACGACTAAAAGGGTTTTTAAAATAGTTCTGTAATTTTAAAACTTGGAAAATCACTTTTGTTTCTAAAAACATCCTTTTTGTGAGAACAAACTATCCATAGCATTTTAAAATATATTTAAGTGATTTATAATTCGTATAAAATATTTGTAAACATAAATATAAGAGAATTGGTTTCATTGGGTTTGGAATCTACGAATTCACCAAGGCATTCCACCTATGCTAGTTCCCGTGGCCTACAATCATCGTCTGAAACCTATTCAAGGGAATTGATGACCCTCATTTTCTCGTAAGGCTTCATGCGTGGTCCATCAAAGCTTGCCAATAAATGACGGAAACACATGCCTAGTGTGTGGATTTCAGGTTCAGCCCCGAGGACAAGTCATATCTTGCTGGGCATGTGCACACTATTGCAATGGTATAGGGGTCCTCTCTTCGGCACATGTACATGCCTTACCCTTTAGGATTGCTTCCAAAAACATGACTATCATATGTACATGATTTGCATTGGTAATGTGGAGTATTTTGACCATTGCCCTCACAATCCCACCAACTGCACACATGATTTCGGTTGGTCTTCTAGCCAAACCACCCTAGGCATTTCTCCGACCTCAACTAGGGCTAACCATATGAACCCTCTAGGGTTGTGCCTTACGCACAGGGCTATAGGGTTTTAGACTCCACTCCTAGTCACTAGTCCGACGAAGCATGCCTCTTTGGTCCCCATGGACCACACTCCTATTGGAGTAAAAATATCATAATAATAATCAAAAGTTTTAGATGCTCATGCTCTCAAGGCTTTTAAAGGCCACAAAACCCCAACGTCTCCCACATGGCTTTTGAAAGCCTTACAATTCATCTCCCTCACACTCTCTCAAGCCTTGGTCTAATAAGGGTGAGGACTTTAAACTTTCCCTTAACCCATCCTAAGCTCGGGTAAAGGAGGTGGGTTGCGTTAAGTAGGCAGCCAACATAAAACTTTACCACAATTTATCATGAATCCTGAATTAATGAGAAGAATGGAGGAACATGATTTATTAGCCGACCCCAAATGTTTGGGATAAGGCTTGGATGATGATGATGGCACTCTCTCAAGCCCATCCGATGTAAATGCTTGGTGTACACATTCTCCACCAGCTCCTTTGTTAAGGGTCTGCTAAAATAGTAGTCTTGTTCTAAATGAGATAGTAGTCGACCTTGATGTGCTTGGATTTCTAATGGAAGTGCGACTCTTTAATCACATAAATATCAGACATAATAGCTGCACATATGTGCATTGCATAGGCTCGAACATGAGCTGCTTGAGGAATTTCTTTTGCTAGACAGCATGCCACATATTAGGAGTCCATGTTGCACAATGCTGTAATCAATGTTCAGTAAGGTGGAGGCAGCTGCTTAATAAAATTGTTTGTTTTATTATTTAATAAGTAAGTTTTGTATGTAATATGTTGTTAAGTTGCCGGAAGCACAAATCAAACCTAAACATTGACAACTTTAGATTGTAAATGAAATAATTATAACTCAAAATGAACAATAAAAGATAAAATGAACTCGAGATGTCATTTAAATCTCGCAAATCAAAAGTCACTCACAAGTCACAAAAGTTTCAAAAGTCATTGGCAAAAAGTCATATGAACGCATTTCCGACCAACAAAGGCCCCAAACTACAGAAAGCCTTCTTTAGCCCAAAAATATGATGAACTCAATTATGAGCTTGAATTTCATCATCACTACGAACACGACGTCGTTGTCTGGCATGCAGTCCACCTGAATCTGATGATGATGCCAAGCCATCATCGTTAGAGTCATCCTCCTCCTCCACATAAAAACCTTCTTCCCTTGTATCCTCTGATACTACATTCTCCTCTTCCTCCAAGATCGTCCTCCTCCTCCTCGTCT